TATTCACTACCTCTTGTTGTAGCTGTATTTTCTCACTTTCGAACTTCCCTTGTGCTTCATCACTCGTATTAGACTCATCACTACTCAACTCAAGGTCTTCAAGAATTTCGTCCAATACTATCTTTTCTTTACTCTTCCATGTAGAGTTCTTAAGCGAAAATTCACTTTCCGTGGGGCAATGTTGACATCCCACAACACCCAGCCAGGAGTGATGGGACCCCGAGCAGTTATTTTTGTAAGGTAAACAGTAAGTTCCCAACACTAAAGTTGCTTGACGATACTTATCTTATCCTCGGGTCCTTATACACAAGTAGGTAAGTCTATATATCCTTCAGTTAATGTAATAAGCTCGAAAACATCCCAAATTTGGGAGCTAGCGCTCACAGCTGTGTTTACCGGACCAAAAAAATGGCCGCTCCGTCGTATGTCGAGTAGGTCGTAAGTCGAGGAGTAGCTGTATTTAACTAATGATAACAGAAAAAGTTATTTCTTTAATGTTTTGTTTTTGTGTTTTAATGTTTTGTCTGTGAGTCGGTTCTCGTCTTCAACGTTTAGGTCACGAAGGAGGCTTAAATATATCTAGAAAAAAGTTTTTGCTCCTGTGTAAATATCATAATAAATTTGCACTGTCCTCTGATTGGTCACAGCAGAGAGATTTAAATAATAAATCCCGCAAAATTGTGCCTCTCTCCCGGCAGCACGATAAGAATCCGTCGAGATCGTCGCAGTTTCGTTCTACGTCGGTCGCGTCCACGAAATGTAAACACTATTGGACGCGTACGAAACCGGGTATGCCGATTCGGTTTTTGTTGGTCCATCGCAAGAAGTTAGGGAGTTTAGATTAGGTTAGGTAGGGTTTTCAATGTTGTTTTTTTAACCCTTCATGTTGAAAGTCTAACTCACTTTGGAAGATTCATTGTTTTTGTTAGTGTAAGGAAATTAAGATCATATTTATTTATTAGAAAAAATCCAAATAAAAACTTGTAAAACTATCGTTTTGGCCGTGCAGCTATTTTCCGAAGGTCATAAAAGTTGAAAATACATCAAAAACCATTGGAACAAGATTATTTCAACCTAACCTAACCTATTTGAGTAATCAGTTTCTCCACGTGGTACTAAACAAACAAGTGCCTTTATTATAAGTGTACGAAGATGTTATTTGACCACGATTCTGGGCCAAATAACCGTCGGCCATTTGACCGGGACCTGCGGGGATCGTATAGGATTGTAGTCGGGATGGTTGGGGGCATTAAACAAGTCATTACATTATGGTATTATTTAATTGTATAATTTCTGTTGACAAAAGGATTTAGTTTTATTTTAGATCTCTGTCAAATAAGCGGCGGTTATTGTGCCGAGTACCGGTCAAATAATCCCTGCCTATAATATAATAGTTTTACAGTGTTGTGTATTATATAGCTATTGGTCACATTTCCAGGAAGCTTCAAGGACCAACAACACATCTCGGTACGACAAGTCGAGACTCGACCGTACAGACCCGTCCCGTCTCGCACACGACGCCGTTAACGGCAAACGGAGAAACGCCGCTGGGAGGTAATACCGACGTCGTCACTTCACGTCGTGTCACTGGGCGTACGAGCCGAGTGTATTAGAGTACAGGTTGTACCTCTCTAGTCCGGCATTCTGTGATCCGGAACGATTTTAGTTTGTCCAATAGGTAGATAGGCAGCTTTTTTTTTTTTTTAATCTTGATTATTATTATTATTATTATTATTTTTACAGGAGTATTAAATTTTTGCCCCTCAGGCCCCAATGTGGGTCAGTGACCTATGCCCGGGTGGGCTAATCCCCGTAAAAAAACAACAACGACAAAGCCGGGGGAAATTAAGGTTTGTTTACATCCGGCAGCTCTCTCTCTGTGCTTGTCTATACAGAGCATAACATTTAACCCTTCAATATATATTCTAGCAGTAAATAAGTGTTGCTTTCATATTCTTAAGTAGAGTAACGACGACATGTTTTCACGTGTGCGCACTTACCTACGCGCAGTTTCACTTTTTTTTACCATTGATGGTTAGCTACTTATATTGTTCCATTTATTAACATTAAATAACATTACTTCAAACAAGCATATTAATTTTTTTACATTAATTTTACTACAGCTACAATCAGGGTCTTATTTTCTTCAGTTTTATATGTAGAACCAATCTGTCACCGGTTTTGTAAGCTTTAACAAAAACAATGCCGGCAGCCGTCTCGTCTCGTCGCGCGTTTTAATATTACACTTATTAGTAATAAATTGTATTGTTAATTTTGCACACACAAACATTAATTCAATAAAAACAAATTCAGAAACATTAATTAAAATATATATGAACAGTAAATAAGTGTTGCTTTCACATTCTTACGTAAAGTAATGACGATACGTTTTCACGCGTGCGCACTCGCATACGCGATCTCTGTTTTTCTTTACCATTATCGTTAGCTACTTCTATTGTTCCATGTATTAACATTACTTAAAAGAACCATATTAATTTTTCTACAGCTACAACCGGGGTCTTATTTTCTTCAGTTTTATACGTAGAACCAGTCGGTCACCGTTTTTTGTAATCGACGAAAACGGTGCCGTCTCATTTCCTCGCGTTTTAATATTGAGCGTATTATTAATGAATTGTATTGCTCATTTTGCACACACTAACATTAATTCAATCCAAAAGACTTTCAGTAATAAATAATAACGAATCTTTCGTACATAAGAGAAATAACGCCGTTTACACGATCGTGCACGTCGTCCGAACGTCGGCGGGCCATTCAAACCCGTCGAAATTTGAGTTTCCGCCGTCAAAAGTTTTAAATGTGTCGGCTTTTTTTGTGCGTTCAAATAGAAAACGTCGAATTAAAAACTCGCGAAATTTGAGAAGGTACTGTACGACATTTAACCCTTCAATATGTCTTCAAAGAGACCACGAAGCAGAGAAAGTGGTGCTAGTGCTTCCAAGTGTAAACAGAAGTCACTATCTGTCCAGGAAGAGGGCGAATTTCCACGGTCGGGAAATTTCCGGCGTCCGGCACCGGTCGGGTCCCGTGGTTGCCGGACCGGAGAGGTACAACCTGTACTTGTATTTCAGTACACTTGTACAGTAATCCTATAAAAGTGGGCATTTATGTAAATGTTTGTGCGTAAGGTCGCGTCCCATTGGCGTCGGCGGTACGCGACACTTCCAAAATATGGCCCAGATTCACGTTTTTCATCCCATACCCAATTTTGAATGTGTGTTTATTTCGTGGTTCTTTAAAGTACAGTACAGTATATTAATAACTTTAACTTTCGTTTTCAAAACATAATGTCATTGTTTATTAATTATGATACTCTATAAATGCTGTGGTACTCTAAATACTTTTTTCTACTTATATGAATCAGTTGAGTTGAGTAAACTTTTATTTGCATAGTTTTGAAGAAGACTACAGGACATAGTTTAAATTTTTACATATCAACAGTGCAGTACTTTATCTTAAGTAATATTTTCAGGCACTTTCTCCAACACTGCCTACAGTGGACCTGATGTGAACTAGAATGAAGTTGGCTGGACATAAAGTTTACTGGACCTCAAGTAGTCTGTGGTATTGTATTTAATATTGTTGTGGTACTTTGAATGTTAGGAAAGTTCTACAGGCATTCCCCAGTTTGAAAGAGTACTGTGTCTTATAAAAACCTATGGTAAATCGAATCACTATTCCTATAGACTCACATTATAAAAGCCAAGATACTTTTCTACAACGAAAACAGTTCCCCCCAAATTATGTACGGTCCCCCAAAAAGTATCGATTGAATTTTCTAGCGGTAAAATTTGAAACTCTAGATGAAATACTTTGCTGTGATCCCCAGTGCATCAGCATAAGTTGGTACAGGTACATCCGGTCACTATATGAGCAATAGCCGTAGACGGCGGGTAGCGAGGGAGTCGTCCTCGTGTGACATACGACCGTACGGTATATGCTTTACTATAACAAGAAATTCATTGAGCTATATTAATGTATGTATCGTGCCGGTTAGAAGCGAGGCCCCAACCGAGGATTACAAAAATATCGGAATATACATTAAACGGAAGAGTTTTGGAACGTCACGAGCTAGACCGAGACGGACCTCGGGGCATACGTTTCGCCACCGCGTCGTAGTGACGGTTTTATTCGTACCGAGATGCACAATGTAGTCGTCGACGACACGTCTGATTTTTGAGGAGTGACGGAGCAAATAGTAGTTGATATTAGAGTGAACAGGTACAGCAATATACAATATACAGTGACCGCTTAACGAACACCTCGTTAACGTGAATTTCGATTAACGAACTGCGTTCCATAAGGATCTTCAATTCGGTTAACGAAAAAAAATTCGCTTAACGAACTTCTTACGAACCGACCTCAACATGTTTTCGCTTGCACTGACCGGGCAACCAGCTTTAGTATCAGTCCCCCAATACATTAATCGGTTCTAGGGCTTAAATTCCTTACTATTTTTGTAAATATCAAGAAGTTTATACTATTCAATAATTTTAAAAGTTTAATATTCAATTTTTTAGTCATTTTAACAATTATTGAACAAAATTGAAGGTAAAGTGACTAGTTTAATCCGCGGCATCCAGCCTCTTAACACAGCAAACAGGCGTCAGTCTCTCTCTGTTTTCACTGGAAGTAACATCTTGCTTGAGACTCTTCAACTAAACGCTTTTTTTCTGTGTTTCCAAGCAAATTATTGGTCATTTTGAAATATATTTTATATATTGACAATATATAATGCAGTGCAGCGTTGATTTAATGAAAATAATCTTGAATTAAACCAGAGAGCTAAAATTTTATGGGTGAAATGGCACCATGGGGTGACTTCTCTTCCACCCCAATGCCTTCTCTTCTTCCTTCTCCTCCACCCCGATTCTAAATCCCATCATCATCATCATCATCCAGGAGCCTTCTACATACACACCTCAAAGTAAGTGAACTTTTCTACCATTTTTGTTGAATTTAGGAAATTTTCGGTGAGCTGGAACCACTACCTAAAACCCATTGAAACAATGGTTTCGTTAACGAACGCTTCGTTAACGAATCCACCTTCTGGAACGGATTGAGTTCGCAACCGAGGGGCCACTGTATTGGTCTAAATGGGATCTGCCAAATATTATCGATACGTAAATGGCGTCGGTTTAACGTCAAAATAAGATTTTAATCGGCGCGTCGCCCGTCGTTTAGCGGCGGGTAACCCATCGCGATGCCCGAGGGTTCGCTCGCCCCATTGTGCCGAGTTATTCGAGCGTTGCGCGTACCCTCGTCGCGAAGGCTAATAATAGCGCCTCTCTCCCCGTTGTGTCTTTCCGATAATTCCTCGGTTCATTTGACGTACGATCCCGGTAATGACCGGCTCGGCGTCCGTTTACGACACGCAATCCAAATTCGCGCTACGTGCGATGCGAATCCTCGGAGGATTTGCATCTTTCAAAAACACATACAGTCGTGCGCCGGTTAACATCCGAGCATAAAGTCGCTCTAACATTGCCAAAGAAGTTGCGCTACCGCGAAGAACTGCGGTACTATTGCCACCCCCTGTAAATCCCTGGTTCCCCATTTGTATATACCTGTAGTTTGAGTTTTAAGACCAACAGGTCATAGGTCGACTTTCAACGGACAGCCATAGGGTTGAAAATGGAACGACACCAACACACACTGCCAGAAATGAAGCCAGCAGCCAAAGTACAACCATGGTAGCACAGACGATGTAAAACGTGCATCTACGCATTAAAAGCACTTATAGATACTCGATACTTGTTCATCATTAGCTTGAGTCATCTTAAAGCCACCCTGAAACAAGAGAAAACTACGATACTGGATTTTCATTAAAATATTACATCACAAGTATATTTTACCTTAACTGTGACTGAATGAATATATTCTCGGAAATAAATATGGAAATGTAATATTTTTGCTGGAATGACGTACATATTATAGTGGGAAGTGGGATAAAATCACGAGGAAAGACTTTCGCTTTCTTTCGTTGTTCAAAATATTTTACCGTAATCGCTTTTCGAATGGTTTTCAGTTAAAAAACTGTTGTATTACAATAATATTCTATCCTAATTCACTTGTGATGCAACAGTTTTTTAACTGAAAACCATTCGAAAAGCGATTACGGTAAAATATTTTGAACAACGAAAGAAAGCGAAAGTGTTTCGTCATGATTTTATCCCACTTCCCACCATAATATGTACGTCATTCCAGCAAAAATATTACATTTCCATATTTATTTCCGAGAATATATTCATTCAGTCACGGTTAAGGTAAAATATACTTGTGATGTAATATTTTAATGAAAATCCAGTATCGTAGTTTTTTCTTGTTTCAAATTTAATTAACAAAGATTGATGCTTGAAATGTAATGAACAAAAATTTATGTCCAGTATCTACGAGTTAACTTTAATGAATGAATACTTTGTTTTACATCGTCCTGTGCTACCATACCATGGATTTGGCTACTTTGGGCTCGCAAGAGATCTGCCCTGGCAACTGTACCGACACTCACAGCTGGTGGTGTGTTGGTGCATCGTTTCCATTGTTTTCTGGTAGTTACTGGTAAATATTTTTCAACCTAACGAAACTATTACCCGTTAAGAGGTCGACCCCCAATTTTTGCCAAATAATTTTGTCTTAAAAACTCAAACTACACACAGGTATATACGGTAAATAAGGACATGGGGGGGCCAGGGATTTTTTTTTGGGGGGGGTAGCAATAGTACACGGATTTTTAACATTCACGGGTATCTCTGTTACCTAACCCCCGCGAATGTTAAGGGCCGACTGTACTTCAATTACTTCAATGTACAGAATATTCCTCTGGCGGGGCAATCCGCGTATTTGCGAATCCGTGAATGCTAAACCCGCGTATGTGAAAGGCCGACCGTACGTCCGTGCCCCCCCTCGAAAAAACACTTCCGTGATGCCTGCTGGACCACCACTCCAAGACCCCCCTGATGGAGACACGACGATCCTTCCCGTACTGGCTAGATGTTATGTGTTAAAGGAATATCATTCCTTAGGCTTTAGTAAGCATTTTCCTCCAGGTGTAATGTTAACCTACATCTATTGAGGATAAAATCTTTCACCTACAAATTGACAATAACACATTTGCTGTAATCGGACATATCTAGTTGCCTCAACAATTGCAACCCTAGTTGCAATTTGAAATTCTGTGTCATTACTGAGGAATAACGAAGTCTCTGGTGCACTGCACTCTAAGATTAAGAGAAAATGGACTCGGGCATCCCGAAGGGAGAGAAAACGGACTTCCACGACGGGAGACTCGAGCACTAACACGTGCCACTCATACCGAGAGACTTGACAAGTTTTACCGACCATTAGTGATGTACGTTATCTAGTGAATTTAGTCAATATTGTACAGTATAAGTATACTGCAATTACAGCGGTCCCTCGGTTAACAATGGACCCGAGTGCAAACCCTTACTGTACGTGTACTAAACGATTACGGTACTTAAATTGTTATGTCTATGGCAAATATAGATTGTTTACACAGATATTCAAATACTATCTTACAAGTTATATTCACCCAGGTCGTTTGGGTGGCAAATTATGAGAAGAGCTTAGTCACTCTTAAGTAATGATAAATAAACACTCGGGCCTTCAGCGCCAACTGTCAAATCTTATCTCAAATAAATAAAGACATTGTCACCTCACTTCCCCCCCCTGCTCGCTGGCTACCTCCCTCCTTGTGTTCCCAGACAAAACATTGGTGATAACTTTATGCTTTAAGGTGTTTATTTTATATAATATCTCAGACTAAAGTTAGGGGATTACAATTTGCATAGCTGGAATCCTTGCAAGACAGCCAATAATTTGAATATAAACATTATATATACTGTATTTTGTTGAAGATATAAAAATTGTAGTACATTTTATAATATAAAGTTTTTCAACTGTATTTTTGGGTAGATTTATATCAATTTCTTCATTTATTTTCATCCATTTACATGCAGACACCACAATAAAAGAAACGTGAAAGAAATAAACGACCTCGGTGCAAAGCCGGAGCATTGTTGTACTAATTTGATTACGGTACAAAAATTGTTATGTCCGGTGCAAATTACAGCATGTTTATATTCAAATTAATCAGTATGTTACAAGAATGCCAGCAATGTTAATTATATTGTACCAGGTCATTTCACTGGCATTTTAAAATGAGAGAAGCTTAGTAGGACTGTTATCTTAAGTAATATCACAGACAAAAGTTAGAATTTAATTTGCATTGCTAAAATCGTTACAAGACGGCTAATAATTTTAACATAAACGTTGTATATTTTGCACAAGAGATAAAAATTTGTAGCCCTTTGTAATAAAATTAGTTACAACTAAAATTTGTATGTGAACTATAGCATGTTTATATTCAAAGTAATCACAATTTTATAAGAATTCCAGCAATGTTAATTATATTCTTCCAAGTCAGTTTAGTGATATTTCATAAGAGAAAACCTGAAAGTCACTGTTAAGGACAGATAAATAAATAAGCTCTAGACCTTGGCATCAACTGTCAAACCGATAACCCTCCTCCCCATCTTGCCGCGAATCCGATCACGAGTAAACGGGCCATTTCGCGTCTCGTAATTTTAGCCGCGTCGATTTACGAGCGTCCGTTTTAACGCGATACTACAAAAACGATGTTTTGTAGGAGATGGGCCGAGGTGCATTTGGGTATATTGGGTCTTTTTAGTATTTTGTGTTAGTCTCGAGTACCAAAGTAAATTGTTCCATTGAAACCACTTTAATTGAGTCCAAATTTGGTTTAAAGCTATTAGCTCTCTAGGAATGCGCCTCGCGTCACCGACGCGTACGCGGGACCGGTAACAATTTTACGTAAACGCGTCGACGACGTAATATTCGACAATGCCGTCGGGTCGTCGACGTGCCGTTTCTTCGTTTAGTAAATAGTCGTGGCGATTTTTGTCGCGCGCGTGTCCGTCGACGGGCACGCCGAGGGCGGTCCGTCCGCGGCTGCGGGCCCGCTCGAGATTCGGCCCGTATTGCGCAGTCGTACGGTCCGTCGTCGTTTGCGAGAAGTACTCGTTTACGTAGTCTCGCGTGCAGTATATTGCATTTTCTAGCAATAGACTCCGCCACGATCAGATTCGGCACGAAGAACGACCGTAGATCGTCGCTCCGGAGACGGGTCGGCGAGTGCCGCTCTCCGACGCGAGACGATCGTCGAGAATAACCTACGTGTTTTTCTATTTTTATGGATGCTATTTTAAGGATAACTAAAGCTCAGTCAACGGTTATTTTAGCTTAAGGTCATATTATACGTGTATTTGTAATGTACAGTATTTCATTAAGTAAGAATGCTAAAACTTGCCCGGCGGTCGACCCCCAAAACAACTGCGGCGACCCGCTCCGGCACTCGAGAAGACGGAAGCTCCGAGTACACGACGTTAAAGATTAACGGATAGTTTGACGACTATACCACCCCTTCATCCACATAGCACCCCTTGTTCCCTCTACCTCCAGCTAAATGTATCCCTCCCTCCACTTACCACTCTTCCTTTCCTCATCTATTATCTTTCCCTTCCACCCCTCTATCCCACCATCTGTCCCCCCTCCCTTTCTTCACGTACCATTCTTCCTTTCCTTATCTATTATCCTTCCCTTCCACCCCTCTATCCCTTCCCTCCACATACCACCTTTCTCTCCTACCACCTGTCGTTCCTTTTTTGTGTTTTATTTAATAAGTTTTATAGTATATGATGGTCACCTTATTAATAATGTACCATTTTGTGTGATTACAATTACACTACACACACTTAGTCGAAGTGACCAGTTATTAGTGTTGATATTAATGGGATAAATATTAGATAAGTTTATTGGAGTTTGCTATAAAATATGTGACTATAATTATAAATTGTGAGTGTGAAGAAGGGTTTATAAGTTGTATATATGTCAATTAGAGGAACAAATAATTTGCTAACCACACCCTAGTCCTTCAATGGAAAACGCATCGAAATGCGCAGCGGCGAATGCATTCGGCGGGAGAATAATGCGGCGACACGCGTAGAATACTCGTACGCCACTCTCGGGCACGTACGTTTCCATTTACTAAAGTTAGGTGGGTTTGTTTGGGTGGCGTGGGACCCAGAGGGCATCGGCAGGCGGTCGCGTCCGGCGGTTGCCGTGCGAGAAATTGGGAGGACGGGCTTTCACGTTGCAGAAACTAAGGAACGGCATCTTCCGGCGGAACCACAGCCCGCGATTAAAGGAACGCTCGGGTTTGACGCCCACGGACCGAGCGCGCGGCTCCTCCGCCGTAACAAGAGTAGTCGATTGAAGTCCCCTCTTTTGCCTGGGTGGATGTGTCTGTGCTAACCGTTTTAGGCAAGTGAATGTTTGGTACAGCAGATTTGGGGATTCATTGTAGGGTAGACTTGCCATACAGTGCAGTGTTTTAATTGGTATTATATTGCGGCGATCGGCGAGCACGGAGACCGAAGCCTCACTCGACCGTGTCTCGGGAGGCGTGGGGTTTGGTCCGAGGCCACTCGCAGTCATCGTCGAGGGTATAGTCCGGAACGCCGTTCGACGTGACGTCTCGTCGAAATTCCGGAGCGGTCTTCTCGTCGCGGGGCGCGCCGGAGGTCGACGCTACGACGTTCCCGGAGGGGTCGTCGTCGTCGTCGTCGGGTATTTGACGTGCATCCGGAGTAGAACGAGGGCACGCGTCGAACCGTCGAAAGTGCGCAAGAAATGAGATCGCGTAAATAACGGCAGATTAATTTCGTCGACACTCGTACGTATAAAAGTGCAAAGTAAATAAATAATACGTATTTTTTTTATGGGAATTAGCCCACCCGGGCACGGGTCACCGACCCACATCGGGGCGAAAATGTAATAATAATAATAATTGTTGAAGTTACAGTGTTCATTTTTGGTGGATATCAACGAAATATGATGCGAGAGGCTCAGACGACGACACAAACGACGACGCTCTCTCCGGTATATTTTCGGGACCGTCCGTAAAAACGAAACCAAAACACACGTGCGCATTCAAAGTGGCGCTTTATTCCACAAGTAAAATAAAACATATTGACATAAATATGGGGTAACCTAGTTTATATGTAACAATAATACTGAAGAACCTTAAAGAAATACAAAATGGAAAAAAAAATCAAAAGTGAGGAACAATATATTTATGTTGTGTTGTCAATAGTAAGAGAAACAATCGAGACAGAGAGTCAGACGAGCGACCCGGGACTCGGTCACAATTTTAGGGATGCCACGTAGCAGGAAGATCTACCACGGACGACACATTACGCTTCCAATATTGTCTGCGGAGGTGGTATCTCCCCGTTTGGTGGCTGCCTAAGTATGTAAGATTTTCCAATGGAAAGTGTATGTTTGGCAAATGTATCCAGGTCTTTAGAGAATGTACTCAGATATTTGGGTTAGGTGTCAAGGGTTCATGTATAATTTGCATGCCTAATTGACTATGTATATTTTTTAACTTTAATTTTTCATTTGCAGTCACCCGACGGGAGTCAGAAACGTCATTTTTGTGCGGACCGGCGACTCGACGGACCCCGGCCGAGGACGCCGCTCGAACCGCGGGTGAGAATGTCGGACGACGCCGTATTGTAATGTTTATATCGCAGTGTACGGTATTTACTTAATGGTTCTCTGAAGAATAGGAATGCGTATGTGGCGTGCCTCGGCGTCTCCGTAGGAATTGCGTAGAGTAAGTGGAAGGTTTTTAAGGGAGACGAGAATTTATTAAGCGGCGCGTCGTCGACGAAATATCGAAGGAAGTTTTGACCGGTTACCGAGAGGAAATAAGACGGGAATTTACGAGTAAAAGAGTAGTAGAACGTAAAGATAACGAGGGAGAAATGAAAATGCGACCGACGACGAGACTCGGGTGCCATCGAAAATGCGTAGAGGGACGGACATTACAAGTGTTATAATGAGAGTACTTAATTTAGCATAGAGATATAGAATTGAAGGTGTCATATCTGGTCTAAAAGTGTTGGATACAATATGAAAAGTATTATTAAAAAATGGGAGTTTAAGCCAAGGGTTAGGGTGCTGCTGGCACTTCCCCCTCCCTTCCTATTGGGATAAATCGAGAAACAAGATGAATTCTCCCCACCCCCTCCTCCACAAAGGGGAGACCAGATGGACGTCACCTGGGTGTAAGGGTTAAGAATGTAGTAGCTTGTAATGGAGGATGAGGTATATGTATTTATGTCCTATGTTTTATACTGTATTGCAAGTAGGCGTTATTGTATGCACATTGCGGGTCATAATAGGAACGCGGCACGCCGGAGGCGGGTACACGGGACGATCCCTCGGAACAGAAGCCGAAAGTTCGTGGCGTGGGTATATCCACTTCCCTTAAAAGTGTAATTAGGGATCCTCCTCAGACACATTGCACCATTTGAACGCAGACGTAAGATTATCCTCATCGCCGTACACGTCCCGAGGAGACGAGGCGTATCGAGTTTACGCGGATGCATACGAGACGTTTCCTTTCGAGTACAGGTAGTTCTGCTATAATGCGATAGTTGTGTTCTTGTAAAACATCGTGTAATAGAAATGACAGGGCTTATGGAGAAAATAGGGTTAGGTGCAGATTACTCCAAATCGACAAAAATTTCGTAGTACAGTCTAAATAAATGTTACATTCATATCTAATATTGAAATCATACAGTAAATGTTACACTTGACCTTGAAAAAATCTGAATATAACTTGATGGGGGAGAAGATTGATGTTGAGGAGTCATGAAACATCAAGCTTTTCTTCGAGTGTTATAGCCTTTCTTTTATGATCACCAGAGTGCTTCCCAGAGATATTCTTCTTTTCCATAGTCACAAAATTGGAGAAACAGTAATCACCGAGGACACTTAAAAATTTCACACGTGTTTCAAACAAAGTGTGGAGTAAACAGAGCGCGCGGGTCTAAAACGCTATGTATTTTGTTTTTCTCTTATTTAAAATTTTACATATACTGTAGAGGTATACTGTATACATAAATATTACATAAATTATTTGTGCAATTCTTCACAAACAAAACACATAAATCAATTGAACTTGCGATGTCGAACGTGAACTGTAAACACTGCATAACCCTGCGCCAAGCCACAATGTAAAGTACACTTTAAACGCTACTTATTTTGTTTTTCTCTTTTATTTAAATTTTTACAATTTACATATTCATATTATGCTACAGCGCCCACAAAACACGAGAAACGTTCGAGTCCCCCAGTAGAGATGTCCGTTCTCTATCCACTCGAGGATGTGTCGGTCGTCCGTTTTCTTTTTGTGTACTCGCTCGGGGACTCGAGTATTTCTGTTTATAACGCAGGATGATAAGGGAATTTGAATTTATTTGTTGATTTATTTATTTATAATATACTGTAATATATTAAATATGCTGCAAGTATTTTCTTTAATTTATATACTTTTTTCTGGAAAAAGGGAGGCTACCATTATACCCGGTAATGTACATTTATGGCGATCGTTAAGGACCAAACTCCGAATCCGTGACGTGACTTCCGTTCATCATTTATGTCCTAAATTTACCAATGTAGGTAGTTTCAAGAATTAACGCAGTCATTTACCGAATATTCTTTGCCCAAAAATAAATTTCAAATGAATTATTTATAGGAGATAAGTATTATGATCAGTAAATATACCGATATGCATTACCGACCACAAGGACGGCTAAAAATAGGCACAGACGGTCACAGTCGAGGTCACTTTCCCTTTGTTGTCACTGTAGGACCTTGTGAGTGGTTTACTGTATACATAAATATTACATAAATTATTTCTGCAATTCTTCACAAACAAAACACATAAATCAATTGAATATGCGATGTCGAACGTGAACCGTAAACACTGTGTGATGTAAAGAGAGCGCCGGTGTAAAACGCTATGTAATTTGATTGTCTCTTTTATTTAAAATTTTACAATTGACTTATAATATATAGGTATACTGTATACATAAATATTACATACATTATTTCTGCAATTGTTCACAAACAAAACACACAACTCAATTGAACACGCGATGTCGAACGTGAACCGAAGCCATAACAATCGTTCGAGTGGAATCGCGTCGGAGCAAACGAGTTCGCGTTTTACAAATATCGTTCCTCAATTCATAAATCGCGTCGTCAAAACACGCGTTATAGCAGAACTCGCCGTATAGTTTTTGGTTCACCGCCAACACGTTTATCCTCGTACCGGATCTCCGTCGTCGCGTATTTTTACGCGACATCTGCGGAAGTTACGTTCGCCGGACGTTCACAGACGTAAATGGTACGACCTCGAGAGCACGACGTACATTCGGTCGTAAAGTACACCGGTCCGGATCGAGTGGACTTTCCCAATCGTCTTATAGATTTCTCGAGTTCTTGGGAATGGTACGAATATGTACAATTAATATTATGTTATGTATAGGTATATTGTATGTTTTTTGATAATCGTTAAGTATGGGAGGTGGCGACGTGCACACCGTACCGACGGGTGGAGGAGCGTCGAGTTTGATTTTGTATTAGGCGACGGGGTCGCGGGTATTTACGGAGATACGGCAGAGCGCGACGTCGGCGCCCGCGTACGGCACGAGCGGGAGGAGTAATTTGTGCGGGACGTAATTGTGGGGTAGTCGAGTATGCCTGTGTGTTTTAGTTGGCAATAGTGTGTAGATATGTTTGTGTATAGGTATACTGTAGAAAGAATGAACTTAGATGAAGTTTGTTTGGGAATTAGTATAATTTGTAATAGTAGATAATTGTCGATATATTTTGACAGTAATTTGTCCGTTTCAGTTGCGGAGGAGCGCGCCGATACGAGTCGGAGACGGCTCGTACAGTCGGCGCACGAGAGCGGTCCGGACGAAGACATTCGGGAACCGAGGACGAAGACGCTCGTCGACTGCGGACGAAGACACCGGTCGACGCGCGAGGAAGATGCTCCGGAACACGGGAAGAACGCCACACTCCCGAGTGCGGGAAGACACTCGTCAACGCAGAAGGAGACACGCATCAATGTCGGGCCGGCGTGATTGTTTTAAAGACGATTTAACGTGTAAAATGAATGTACGTGTTGTTTGTAACGATTGTTATAATGTTTGTAGTATTGTTTTTAGAGACCGACTCTGCGAAGACGGAGGAAGTCGATACATGTCGAGAATGAATTTATTGAAGATGTTGCCTGTGATCACTAGGTGTTTGCACTAATTTGGGGAGATGATTACGATCGTAGAACGTCACGGAATGCGGCGCGCACGTCATTTGTGGCGGGACGCATCCGTAAATAACGGCAGCATAAATACGAGAGAACGCGGTGGCGGCGGCGGGGAAGTGCGCCTTTTGAAAGTAAAAGAACGGGGGAGATCGGACCGACATAGATGGTGTTGTTGTGGTAACCGATAAGAATGGAGAAATGATGACTATTTGGTGGGTTTTTTAGGACAGAGAGAGTAGTTATATATTAGTGAAGATATAAAGTAAAAGGTGATAAGGATGGTGGTGGGGGGGACAAGGAATGATATATTTTGTAGGGTATTAAAGGAATTGACTCGTTAGTGCCGAGTCGGCATAATTGTGAGAAACGGATGCGACGGGGATTTTAAAGAAGTCGCGCGGTAGAGGAATTGCGGGGAAATCGGCGGAAGCGACGATCGCAATAACCTTTCGATGCGGGACGGACGACGACGAATTAAGTAAATGGCGGTTTAGGAAAGGGTCGTACGTAAAGCGGCGGGTGCGGGCGCGTGCGGATACGGACGACGGTCGATCGGGGTCCGTTTACGGGACGGGAAAGAGGACCGACGGAGAACGGACAGGAATTCGGACGGAGACGAGGCGGTGCACAAACGAAAGTCTCCGAGGTACCGCGGGGAAGTACGGCAGTAGTTACGGAAGTATACCCGCGAGATGTGTAAAGAATGATTTGGAAGTAGAGTTAGCTAAGAGTCGTGTGTTTGAAATGGCGGGAAGGTTCGATAGGTGTATTAGTTTTACGTAATTGTGGCAGTGCGTTTGAGAGTGGGCGGTCGTGGAATGCGCGCGGGTACCTATTTTGAGACCGCGACATCTACCGGTAAGGAAATACGTGATGCAGCAGTAATATATTTTTGGTTAATAGTAGTTTCATATATTTGGCATGAATTTATACTCGTTCACCTGTACTCCGTGTTACTCCACTCGTGTTAAGGTGTTTATTGTGAAGGCGTTTGTATAATAATAAAATTTGTTGGACGAGTAGGGGAAGGAATACGAGCACAATGTTTAATTTGTAAGCCCTCCCTTTTTTGTCTTTTCCCTCTGCCTCCCCGTCCTCCTCCTCCTTTTTTGACGTGTGGCTTCTTTTCCCTCCGTTTCATTGCAACTCCCTTCGTTTTTCTCCCCCCTACCTGCTTCTGTCCGTCCTCTTCTTCTTCCTGTTTCCTTCTTTTACTCCTCCTCTTCGCCATATGTCTTCCTCGTTTATTCTTTGGCTTGTTCTGCGTCTGTTCCTTCTCCTCCTCTGTTTGATTGTGATTCCCTTGTTGTTTCTCACCCTCCCATTGCTCTTGATCCTGTTGTTACTCCCATTTGTTGGTTGTTTTTGTGTTCCTGTATATGTTTGTTGTTAGCGATTGAATTTGTGGTTGTATTACTGCTGCTGTGTGTATGTTGGGTTGTATTTATTTGTGTTGTTATAAATATGTTGTGAGTGTGAATTAGATATATTGTATTGATATTTGACTAAATTTTGTTGTTAAGAAGAGGAGGAGTTCTATTTAGATTTGGAAAGTAACTGTCATCGAGGACGAGAATGCACGTACCGTCTGTAGTTTGAATATGCGGTCGCGTCGGGTTTGGGCAGTTATATATCGGGAAATAGTCGAAGAGTGTAAGTTAATGTTGTGGACTTGTGAAATTGTTTATTGTGGAATAGTTATTGGTTTTAATTTGAAGGGTGTCAATTGCGCACCGGGAATATTTTGTCGGGAGTTTGGCGTCGTCGGAATCGACCGGAACGGCCGCAATAAATTGCGGGAGTCGCGGAGTTATTTTTTGTCGTAATAGATCCGTTCGCGGAGTCGTAAAAAATGTGGCGTCGTCGACGAAAGTCAATCGTCCGCGGATCGGTCGTCTTCGAATCGACGGAAGTTAAGCGCGGACTCGCAATACAGTTTGACGTGCAATTCGTCACGTCCGTTTTATTGCAGTCGAGTTACGTGTAGACTTTGAATATTTGTAGACTTGTATATGTTTGTTTGTAATTGATTGAAGTTATTTGTAGTTTGAAAAATGTTTTGACTTGTTGTTGTTGTTTGATTATAGTATAGTCATTTGTGCAGTTTGAAATTATTTTGGTTTGTGGATTTGGAAAATGTGTTGCATGTATGTGGACTTTGAATAAGTGAGATATTTTGTATATTTTTCATGTTTGTGGACCGAAATGTCGTACCTCTAGTCGGGCAACCTCGGGACCGGACCGGTGCCGGACCATGGAAATTGACCCTTTTCCTGGATAGATAGTGACTTGTGCTTATGCTTGGAAGCACTAGCACCACTTTCTCTGCATCACGGCCTCTTTGAAGACATATTGAAGGGTTAAATGTCGTATAGTAGCTCGTCAAATTTGGAGAGTTTTTAATTCTTAACGTATTTTATTGGAACACACCCAAAAATAAATAAATAGAAATTTTGACGGCGGAAAGTGGAATTTCGACGGGTTCGAACGGCCCGCCAACGTGCAGACGACTGGCACAATCGCGTAAAGAGCGTCATTTCTCTCGTGTAGAAAAGATTCATTATTGTTTATTAGTGAATGTCTTTTTTATTGAATTACTGTTTGTGTGCAAAATGAGCAATACAATTCATTAATAATACGTAGAATATTAAAACACACGGCATTGTTTTCGTCGATTACAAAATCGGTGACTGACTGGTTCTACATATAAAAGAGAAGAAAATAAGACCTTGGCTGTAGCTGTAGTAAAATGACTATGGTTGTTTTAAGTAATGTTAATAAATGGAACAATAGAAGTAGCTAACGATAACGGTAAAGAAAAAAAGAGATCGCGCGTGTAAGTGGGCATGCGAAAAGATATCGTCATTACTTTACGTAAGAATACGAAAGCAACACTTATTTATTGTTCATATATATTTTAATTGATGTTTGTGAATTTGTTTTTATTGAATTAATGTTTGTGTGTGCAAAATTAACAATAGAATTTATTAATAATACGTGGAATATCAGAGGAGACGAGACGAGACGGCTGCCGGCATCGTTTACGTTAAAGCTCAGAAAACCAGTGACCGATTGGTTGTACATATAAAACTGAAGAAAATAAGACCCTGATTTTAGCTGCAGTAAAATTAATGTAAAAAAATTAATATGCTCGTTTGAAGTACGTGTAATGTTAAAAAATGGAACAATATAAGTAGTTAACCATAAAAAAAGTGAGTGCGCATACGTAAGTGCGCACATGTGAAAAGATATCGTCATTATTCTACATAAGAATATGAAAGCAACACTTATTTATTGCTGAAGGGTTAAATGTTGTACTCTATAGACAAAGAGAGAGAGAGCAGCTGAAGTGCTGGATGTAAACAAACCTTAATTTGCTGGGTTTTTTGTTTTTTAGGGGATTAGCCCACCTGGGCATAAGTCACTGACCCACGTTTGAGCGTGATGGGCCAAAATTTAATACTCCTGCTATAATAATGATAATTTCCAAGAAAAAAAAAAAAAACTGCCTATGTACCTGTTGGAGAAAGTAAAATTGTTCCGGACCACGGGAGTTTGCGGAGCACAGAATGCCGGACTAGAGAGTTACAACCTGTAGTTGTTTGTGGACTTGAAATTGTTAACCTTTGTGGACTTTGAATAATTGATAATGTTTGTCGACTTTGAATTTGTTTTGCCTTTTGTGGAACGGGAAATTTACGCGTCGGGTCCGAGGACCGGCAATAATTATCGACGCACGCGAACTCGGAATAACGTATTACGCCGGTGGAATCGGACTAATTTTTTATCCCGTGTGGACTTTGAATAATTTTGTATCTTGTGTGGAATTGGAATATTTGTTATCCTTTGAAAATGTCTCATTGTTTGTGTATTTTGAATAATTGTCAATTTGTGTGGACTTTGAATATTTTGGTTTGTGTACTGGGAATAATGCTCAATTTATGTGGACTGAATAATTAACATGTTTGGGTGGATATTTGAATATTTTGTTGTTGTGTGGACCCTTTGGAAGACAGAGTTTAATAATTTATTGTTTGTGCACTTGGGGAATGTCGTTCATTGAGTGTGATCCTTGAATATGTATAAATGACAGGACTTTGGAATATGTTTATCTCTTTTTGTATTTAGTATTAATCTTCCATCCTGTGTAACTTTTGAATAATTAATATGTATGTGGACTTGTTATTATTTTATCGTTTGTGGACTTTGAATAATTTTCAATGTAGACTGAGTATTTTTGTCATGTTGTGTGGACTTAGAATAATTTGTATCCTCTGTGGACTTGTAATAATTTTTAATGTATGTGGACTTTGAATAATTTATGATGTTTGTGGACTTAGTATTATTTTAGCCTTTGTGTATGTGTACTTGGTATGTTTGTGGACTTGTTATTATTTTATCGTTTGTGGAGTTTGAATATTTTGTGGATATAGAAAATGTTTTATCGTCTGTGGCTCCGTATTAATGTATTACGTCCGTAACTGTAGTCATTTTTGAAACAGTGACTTGGTGTGGCTTGTTGTTTAGGACCAGGAATAGAACTTTAATGTAGATCCTGAATATTTTTCATCGCATTGTGGACTTATTATATTTTTTTGATGTTTCAGGTCTTCGAAGAATATATTTTGTGTGAATTGAATAATTTGTTATCCTTGAAATGTTCCATTGTTTGTGGGATGGAATATTCACACCTAGTGACTTTGAATATTTTGTGGACTTTGAATAATTTATTGTTTGTGTACTTGGAATAATGATCAATTTCTGTGGACTTTGAATATTTTGTGGACTTTGAATAATTTATTGTTTGTGTACTTGGAATAATGTTCAATTTATGTGGACTGAATAATTAATGATGTTTGTGGATATTTGAATATTTTGTTATGTTGTGTGGACTTTGAATATTTTGTGGAGTTTGAATAATTTATTGTTTGTGTACTTGGAATAATGTTCAATTTATGTGGACTTTGAATAATGTATAATGATTGTGGACTTTGAATATCCTTTGTGGACTTAGTATTAATTTATCCTGTGTGGACTTTGAATAATTAATATGTATGTGGACTTGTTATTATTTTATTGT